AAATCAGCTAGTTCCTATGTGCTCGCAAACTACCACAGAATTTGTCTGAACAAAATGAAAATCTATGAGAAAAATATGGGACCACCATACAGGAGACCATTGCATTGTGGTTGTATATCATGAATCTGAATGTAATTTTTGATACCTCTGGTGCTCTTTGTACTAACTTGATTGATTATGAATAGGTTGAAAGTTTTTCTGAAAAAGATAGACCCTCTTAGATGGAAAACTTTTGCTGGTGGGGTATGACAACTGCGGACGTTTTTCATGACAAGTTAGTTATAGAGGGATGGCAATTTCTTTAGACAAGCATGACAATTTCGTGGCAAAGAAGACAATTTTTCCCAAAAGCTGCCATCATCTCGATCAGACTACCGCGAGGGCGTCCGCTAGGGTTTTCTTCCCAATGTACGTTGGCCGGTTAGCTTTACATTAAGAGAAAACTATTTTGGGTGATCCCACGCTCCCAAACATGCGGCCGAGGAGGGATCATGCCGTCCCAACGTTAGGGCATGTCCAACACTAACCATCAAACCCTTCCCCTCCCACCCCATCCATCTGGGCAGCACACTCCGGACGTGTTTTACCATCCAACGGGATCCCGCGGACCAGTCCGGACGTCCTTTCAAACAGGAAAAAACAAGGAGCTTTGCGGGTGTTCGGACCGTTGCAACACAGGCGTACGACAAACTGACCCCACCCAGAACCCTCTCTCATGATTTCTGTCCAACGGATGTGTAACATTCATGTTGACCCAAGTCCGTAACTACTGACATTAATATCGTGCGATGTGATCCGACGGGAGGATTGTGATGACCGACCCGACCACACGGGATATGTCGCTTAAATGCAGACACATCATCCCGAGAAATAAACTCCGCCAGATCCGTCACATTGAAGTTGGCTGATTGTTCCCTCACCTGGCCATGGCTATTTAAGCCCGGCGTAGGCGCCGTCCACATCCATATCACACTCTCCACTCCCCATCTCCACGCACGTTTGCCGCTCCGTCCTTTCCACTCACCACTGATGGGCAAGTCTTGGGTCTCAACACTAGCGGGCGGCTCCGGATCTAGCTTCGGATTGTGGCGCCACCGCCCTCACTTGCCGGGCCTGTGTTCCTCCATGGAGACCGGCGAGGAGGAAGATAAGCTACAGCAGCAGCCCGTCCTCTCGGAGGAAGCGGTGTACACGGTGACGGATGCCTTGTACGAGGAGCAGATGAAGCTGATGCTCCTACGCTCGCTCCTCTACGACCGCAGTCCAGCGCCGCAAGTTGAACGTCGTGTCAATGAGGAGCGGTTGTCGCCATAGGCACACCGCATCAAAGAGGAGCAGTTGTTGCCACCACGTAGCTGCGTCAAGGAGCGGTTGTCGCCAACTCGTAGCCATGCCGGTGGCGGCTTGCACCATGCACTCGTCGCGAAGGCGCACGGGCACATACTACACAACTTTGGTGGAGGCAGCTCGTCCTCCCAGAGTACCTTAATGGGGCAAGAGTATACGGACAGGGAGCGGCGGAGAAGAGAAAGCGTCGTCTCCGCCGCCTCGACGAGGAGAAGGCAAAGTACGGTGCAGAGTGGTCTCTCCGCGAGACGGGCGCTACCTCTGGCAACTCCCGCCACTCATCTCTCTCCCCTCCCACGTCTGCCGTGACCAAGGCCGCACTGCGTGCGGCTTAGGAGCAAGCGGAAAAGATCTTTGACGAGCGCTAGGCGGCAGCCAGGAAGCCCTGCCGCGACCCCGCGCCATACCGCCGCTCGAAGCCCGACGATGATGGTATAGGATAGTTTTTTTTGTTGGTTTTAGTTCACACGACGAAATATCGTCTGATTTTATGTAAAAATCTAAATTTGAATGAAAATCGTTCGATTTGTTTAAATTTCCATCAAATTTATTTATTTTTGTTAAATTTTGTTTGAAATGTGACCGGACATTTGCGGCCAGTTTTGGATGGACGGCTCATGTATTATTGCAGACTGGTCCACATCGGACCATGGACGGATACAGTGTCCGATTTAGGGGCTTAGCATATTGAGATTTTACAAAGTCACCACAGGCGTCTCACACTCGACGAGAACGTCTTCTCCCATAGAACAAACATCGCCGAAAGCCTGGAATAAATCTAGAAAAACACGAGAACCAATGTCAAGTTTAAGACTTGAACTTTGGTGGTTTCGGAATACTACTGTTCTTCTAACTATCCAACCACAGATTGGTTCGCCTCCTCGACCTATATAGTTGTACTATCTTCTTCATAGCCACTATCCATACGTCACCTATCATAATCAACAAAACGATTAAATTAGGTACATGGTTTGCTTGTTTGACCTGTGCATATATATGCGTGGTGATTTGGTAACCTTGCATGCCCGTCCCACACGAAGACGAAGAACAGTATATGTGGATTGTTCGAGCGACATGTGCATGCAAGGAAGTGATTGATCGTTTCAAGCAAGCGAACATATATATAGCTACCTGGCTGTCTGTACCCGTTTGCCTTTGACAAATTAACGTTGGGCGGTCATTTACTTCTTTCGCAATCCATGGATCGACCCCGCGAAGACAATGCACAGGTAGGTGATGTGGATGGATGGACACATGCAAGACCAGTTTCGCTTAGTAGTACATGGAAGAATACTAGTTGATATAACTTGTGGGATTGGTGTCTTTAAAATCAGTAACAAAACTGTTCACTAAACTCACCAACTTTAGAGCTCTCTAAATCAATTGAGATCTCCAATTCTGAATTTGGTTTACAAATTTGCATTTTGGGTGATCCCAATTCTGAACATGCGATACCGTCATAACAATGTGGGAAACGTTAAATGGCTTGGGACGTTCGGACAGCTCGGTCCAGACGCTTGCGGGAAGTTTGGGGGGCGGTGTCGGAGATGCTCTAATATAAGGTACTACCTCCGTCCTAACATAATTGAAGTTTTGCATTTGTCCTAAGTCAAATTTGTTTAAGTTTAAACAATTTCATAGAAAAAATATATTAACAATTGAAACACCAAATTAGTTTCATTAGATTATTTATAAAATATATTTTTGTACTATATGTGTTTGGTGTTGTAAATTTTACCATATTGTTTGTAAAGTTTGTCAAACTTAAACAAGTTTGATTTAGGACAGACATCGAACATCAACTAGTTACTTTATACGGAGGGAGTATCAATTATACAGGCCATCAAATTGGTTAGCTGATGCAAGTTTTTTTTATAATGAATATCAATGAGCTAAATCCTGGCTACGGAGACGTGGCGCTGGGCCATGCTAGAAATGTATTGTACTGTCCACACTTTTGTACAACGCGATCTATATATAGTTCTACTATCTTCATCATGGTCACTATCTATATGTCGCCCATCATAATCAACAAAGCGATTAAATTAGGTCGATGGTTTGCTTGTTTGACCTATGCATATGCGTGGTGAAGCAGATGACCTTGCTTGTCCAACCCACGAAGACAACTAACAGTATTCAGTAGTGACCTAAACGCTCTTATATTTGTTTATAAACGGAGTAGATGGGAATTGTCCGAGCACCATGTGCATGTATGAAAGTGATTGATGATTTCAAGCAAACATAACTACCTGTCTGTGCCCGTTGGCTTTGACAAATTCATGTTGGCCGGTCAGTTTACTTCCTTTGCAATCCATGCATTGAGCCCGCGAAGACAATGCACAGGTAGGTGATAAGGATGGATGGACATATGCATGACTATTTTCGTTTGGGACTACGTGGAAGAATAGTTATTTTAACTTGCAGGGTTGGCATATATACGATAAGCCAAACAGTGTTTTCTTTTACTGAAAGGTCAACAAAAGTCTTGGCTTTTCGTTCCATCGTAACATTTGTTCTTTTTCTTGAATGAAAGAGAGTTGTCTCTTGGTTTTCCACTAATAAAAAGCATAAGTTTTTTGTTTTTTTTAATCTTTAGTATGTGTTGCTGGACACAACATTTAAACTCATTTAGTTGTACTGTTAACTCAAGACCACCTTAAACTGATCTTAGTTAACTTTGACGGTACTGTAAGTTGATGGGGCAAAATAAACAGTTTTATAGTTAAACGGCTTTTAAACTTATCTACCTGTCTCCTTGAGAACAAAATAACTCATCTACCCTTCTAGAAGCTGCTGGCCAAGAGGGATGAGAAATAATTTGATGTCTAAGTTCAAGCTTTGTCCAGCAACCCGTCCAGATGTGTTTTTACGTGACACAAGATTGATATATACCCATTTCGATTCCCCAAAACCATTTTGCACGGTTGTAGTTATCTAATAATCTACGGATAAAATCTATAAACAACTACAGGTTGAAGCTTAACTCTGATATAGATAAGTTATTAAGTTTCATGCATCAATCAGTAAAACCAAAATCCAAACTCACGAATAGGGTCAGGCAATTCACATGTATACTTAAATGTAAACTATATCTTCTATTCTGACTTATGAAAGAGTCTCATATACAGAACAGTTAGCACTGCATAATGTGAAAACAATAACTTGACGCCAAATACGCATCATTAATTCCCCCCCGCAAAAAAAATACACATAATTAATTCATTATTGGTAAACAGAATAAGGTACCAGTGTACACAGTACATATACACGTAGATACCGAAATTGTAGACACATACATAACAAACGCACACATGATAATTCCCATGGTTATTTATTGGACTTGTCGAGCCGGTAACATATGCATACTTGCATCGATCCATCAACGACAAGCAAGGCTAGTTATGAACTAGAGCTAGCCAACAATGGGAGTCTCGGCGACGGTGGTGCCGTTGACGAAGATGCGGACGCGGTTGGCGATGAATTGCGTGTCGCTGCTGGAGCCGACGGGAAGGACGAGGATGTCAGCGCCAGGCTTGTCGCGGAGGATGATCGCCTTGGCCTCCTCGACGGGCAGCCCCACCACCTCCGGCCACGACGTCTTCTCCTCCGACGAACTCATCGTGATCGGTTGATCGGTTGTTCAGGATCAGAAGACTACTGCTTGAGAGCTAGTAGCTGTTAGGTGTTGCTTGGTGGATTTGCATAGCGTGCTGGCCGATGTATTTATAGAGAGAGATATGCATGAAGCTACCTTCAGAACTTTCATGCGTGCTGCTAGAATTGTACTATGCGTGTACACACGTGCCGCACGAGCCAGAAGTACGTACGGACCAGGGCAGGTCAAACAAGCAACCTAGATCGATATGCAGAACAAATAGTCAGGCGTTGAATTGTCTTAGTTTTGCTACAAGGAAAATTGGACTCTTCCAGCCGGGAGGACATATTCCGGGTGTCGCACGCATGCACATTGCAACAATATAATAAGAGAACCGGACGTAGCTCAGTTAGCAAGGCGCAGAAGTTCCTAGCCAGCCCACCAAGGTTTAAATCTCGGCTTGAACGTTTGGTGCTCATAGAGTTATTTTTTATAAAAAAAATGCCAACAGGCTAGTCTAGCCCGGGCTGGTCTTTTTTTTTAACATAATAATAACGGCAAGCTAGTTAGTTTAACGAAGAAGAAGAAAAACTACCTATAGATGTCGGGCCCGGGATACGGACAACTTGCAATTTTTTGATGAGTTGCTGAAATCACACGGGTGATGTTGTTTTCTCTTCATGCAGATGCTTATACAATTGTTCCGAAGCATCGGAAGCGGAGCTCTTGGCGATCAAGGAAGGTTTGGCTTTGGCCTTGCAATGGAGCCAGATGCCAATTCATATTGAGACAGACTCTGTTGATGAGGTAAATTTGTTAAAGAAGAATGGAAATGATAGATCTCATTTTGGCTTCATGGTGTATGTGATGAGAGCACTCATGTCACATAGAAAAAAATACTTGTATTGCTCATATTCGACGAAACCAGAATTTGGTGAGTCATGTCTTAGCTAGCTATGGGAGGACCAGTGGTAGAACTGCAGTTTGGCTTGCCTCTAGTCCTGTTGGCATTGTTGATCTCTGTAATTCTGAAGTAGCAAATGCTACAAGAGTAATGCAAGTTATTTCCCGCAAAGAAAGAACGAAACTGCTCCACACACATAATTAGGAACCGATCAATGCACAACACATCAATCCAGCGGCAGTGAACTCTTTATCCCTATGCTTGTGTGGTTCGATCATAAACGACGTGCATAAATCAGGCGGCATGTGTCGTGCACATAGTACTGCTCAAAAAAGTAATCACATGGGTGAAGAACGTATGTTTTGTGCGTTCTAATATGGATTGAAAAAAGAATGTTAATGCAACATAACCGTGAAAATGTCTGCAAGTCGCTATATAGAGTCCCTTTTGTATCTTCTATATGCAACTCAAACCTTTTGCAAATTCAAATCCGTCGCAAGTGACAACGTTTGTAAGTCATCATTGCTCCCAAAGTAGTCGGGTCTAACATGCAACTGCTCCTCTGTTTCTATCGTTCATCCAGCCCATCCTACACACCCCCACCCACATGAGTCGCAGCCGCTGCAGCAAGGGGGTGGGTTGCAACCATTTGGGACCCGACTTTGTCTGGGATCGGCTATGTACCGCTTGCACGGAGCTCATATTGGGCGCCTTCAGCGCCACTAAACCAACCCAGAGCTCCCGTGAGCCCTTCCGTGGCCCGGCCCAATAATGAGAGCAGTGACGTTCGTTCGCTCGGTCCAAATTGATTGATCGGCTGTTTACCGTTGACCTACACTCGTTGACCGTTGACTTTTCAGAAAAAGTTCATATACTTGAAAAAATATGTATAATCTGAAAAACACGAATTTGACAAAATATCATGAAATTTTGAAAAAAGGTTCATGAATTTGAAAAATGTTCACCAAAAAAAGTTAGCAAACTACAAAAAGTTTACAGATTTGAAAAAAGTTTGGGAGAATTTGAAAAAAGTCACTAAAAAAGTGAGCAAAACTAAAAGATGATGAGTTTTACTAAAATTTTCACTAAAAAATTGAAATGTTTTGTGAGAATATGAAAAAAATAACTAAAAAGTTAGCAAAACTGAAAAGGTTCACAGATTTGAACGAAGTTCATGAAATTTTGAAAACAAATCACTAAAAATAGTGAGCAAAAACTTGTGCGCCGGTTTACTCCACTAGTTCCACTCCACTAGCAAAAGTTCATATATAGCAAAACTTGGGCCAGCCCATATAGGAACTAGTGGAGTCAAACTTCTGCTAGATATAGTGCGCCGGTTTGCAAAACATACGAAATCAGCGCTCAACGCGCAATATATGATTCGGCCACTTGCAGCAAGACGGAAGCCAGCATCGGCTAAAGGAACACGCAGTTGACCGGGCCAGTAGCAGGTTTCTTCATTTCTTCACTCTGTTTTCTTTTCTTTTTATTTAACTTTCTTTTTATTTTTCGAAAGCCAAATACATATATTCTACAAACAATTACTTATGTTTTAAAAAAAACACTGTTTGTGCTGGGTTAAAAAGATCTTTGCGCAACTTTAAAAAACTATTGATAGATTTTAACAAAAAGTTTCAACACATATTTAAAAAATGTTTAACATGTATTCCGAAAAAAAGTTCAAGAAATGTGTTGAAAAAAATGTGTTAAAAAATGTTTAACAATGTTTCATATACATATGAAAATGTAGAACGTGTATGAAAAAAAGTAGACATCAAAACATATTTTTTTAAATGTAGTTAGGTATTCAAAATTTGTGAAACATGTATAAAAATGTCCTAGATGTGTACGAAAAATGTAGACAACTAAATATAAAATGTAAAAAATGTTAATCATGTATATAAAATATGCTAAAGTTATATAAAAAGAATGTTCTTGATGTATACGAAAAATGTACATTGTCTGCGAAAAAAGAAAATATGTGTTAAGAAAATCTGAAGTAAACCAAAGAAAACCAAAAAATAAACAACGAAAATGAATAAACACGGAAAAGTAAAAGAAAAACCAAAACCCCCCAAAAAAACCATAAGTGAACGAAGAAACCAATGGAAATATGTCAAATCAATGCTTCAGAACTGTGCCGGTCCAATATCAAGGCTAGAATGATGAGGAGAAAAGAGAGGAATGTAAGGCTTTTTCATATATTGAATTCTTGCATGGGGAATTAGAAGAGAATATTTATATGAAATGAACTGAAGGTTTTATTATTTCTGGAAAAGAAAATCATGTTTGCAAGTTATAAAAAAAAACTCTTTTTTAATTGAAGTAATCCCATAGACAATGGTACAAGAGATTTTGACAGCTTTATGTTCTCTCAATGTTTCAAAGGTTTCATTATAATAGTTGTGTTTATTTGAAAATCGTTAATGGTTTAGCTATTTATTTGCTCCTTTATGTTGATGATATGTTAATTATTGCAAAGAGGCCCTCTCCTTATTAACAGAGAACTATCTTAAGATCATCTCCTCCTTCATCAAGTTAGTTATCTACAAGTAAGTTAGAGAATTATTGTTGTCAAGCTAGTTATCTTATATAAGACTTTTCTATAAGGCCCGCAAGCAGGTTCAGGTGGAAGCAGTATGTCAGATATTAATGAACTAAACAAGCAATCTAGTCATGAATCTGAGATGAAGAATTAGGATGTAGCAAAGAATATACTTGGCATGAAAATATCCATAGACAGACCACTAATACGTCTCCAACGTATCTACTTTTTCTCACGTTTTCCCTCTTATTTTGGACTCTAATTTGCACGATTTGAATGAAACTAACCCCGGACTGACGCTGTTTTTAGCAGAACTACCATGGTGTTGTTTTTGTGCAGAAATAAAAGTTCTTGGAATGGAATGAAACTTTTTGAGGTTTTTTATACAATATATAAGAATTTCTGGAGCCAAGACCCACCGGAGAGGGGGCCCTGGGTGGGCACAACCCACCAGGACGCGCCCCCTCTCCTGGCGCGCCCAGGTGGGTTGTACCCACCTGGTGGCCCCGCTGACGACTGCTACCTCTTGAGCATGCGTTGGTTTTCCCTTGAAGAGGAAAGGGTGATGCAGCAAAGTAGCGTAAGTATTTCCCTCAGTTTTAAGAGCCAAGGTATCAATACAGTAGGAGACAATGCACAAGTCACCTAGTACCTGCACAAACAATCAAAAACCTGGCAACCAACGCGATAAAGGGGTTGTCAATCCCTTCACGGTCTAAGTGAGATCTAATAGAGATAGTAAAGTAAATATTTTTGGTATTTTTTTTGTATAGATTGGAAAGTAAAGATTGCAAAATAGTAAACGAGATGTGATGTAAATAAAAGAGATGTAATATAATATGAAAGAGACCCAGGGGCCATATGTTTCACTAGTGGCTTCTCTGAAGATAGCATGTATTATGGTGGGTGAACAAATTACTGCCGAGCAATTGATAGAAAAGCGCATAGTTAGGAAGATATCTAAGGCAATGATCATGAATATAGGCATCACGTCCGTGTCAAGTAGATCGAAACGATTCTGCATCTACTACTATTACTCCACACATCGACCGCTATCCAGCATGCATCTAGAGTATTAAGTTCATAAGAACGGAGTAACGCATTAAGTAAGATGACATGATGTAGAGGGATAAACGCGAGCAATATGATATAAACCCCATCTTTTGATCCTTGATGGCAACAATACAATACGTGCCTTGCTGCCCCTACTGTCACTGGGAAAGGACACCGCAAGACTGAACCCAAAGCTAAGCACTTCTCCTATTGCAAGAAAGATCAATCTAGTAGGACAAACTAAATCGATAATTCGAAGAGACTTGCAAAGATATGAAATCATGCATATAAGAATTCAGAGAAGAACCAAATAATATTCATAGATAATCTTTTTCATAAATCCACAATTCATTGGATCTCGACAAACACACCGCAAAAGAGTATTACTTCGAATAGATCTTCAAGAACATCGAGGAGAACTTTGTATTGAGAATCAAAGAGAGAGAAGAAGCCATCTAGCTAATAACTATGGACCCGAAGGTCTGTGGTAAACTACTCACGCTTCATCGGAGAGGCAATGGT